TACTAAATCCTAGTTTAGAGCAACTTAATTTTTTCTAGTTTATAACTATAGAACATGTATATTATTCTATTTGTCACTTATTTTTTTCTCTGTGAGCCTACCATAAGATTCTTGTGTATATTTCCCTGTTAAGTGTTTTTTTAATTAAAAAATTTTTAAATGGAGGTACTGGGAATTGAACCCAAGACCTTGTGTATGCTAAGCACGTGCCCTACCACTGAGCTCTACACACACCCCAGCAATATTTTTTAAAAATACTAAAAATACAAGCCAGATTGCCTCTAACAAACTCTTTCATGAAACAAATTTGCAGTTCAAACGTTTTTGTACCTTTGCAGAGATAGCCTCTCTTTTACTGAAGCATCTGTTTAGCTAGGAGGTGAGGGTAGAAAATAAAGCCCCACAGTGAAGGGGTCAGCCTCTGGGCTCTGTGGCTGGCCTGTTGCTGCCCTCCTCTGACAATCAACTGTGTTTATACATGCAAATAACTACAACTACTTGTTAAAGTTTAATTGATGGGCAACAATCAGCACTGATGATTTGAGGGAAATGAACAGGCTTGGGTCCAACAAAACATTATCAGTGTAAACTGTCCTGGATTGGGAGGCAGAGGACAGCTCAAGAAGTAAAGAAACACATTAATTTAGGTGGAAAATAAAGGCTGGACTAGAACTGGGACTCAAAGAGCCAGAAGACTGAGCAGTAGAGGGAAGTTGGGGTCTCCTTCAGAATGAACTGAAGTAGAACCTCAGGGACCAGACTTGAATGGCCATTTCCTTATGGTTAATTGTGCTCACTGTTACAGCTTAGACTGGAACAGAATTTTTGCATCTGCCAAATTCTGTAGCTATTTATGTACTTCTACTTATTGCGGATATATTTGGGGATAATAAAATCCTTTGCCTATAAGAAAATAGTATTCTTTTTTTAAGTTGTTATTATCCTCAAGACAGCTAGACCAAGAATGTGTACCTTCCACAGGAACTCTATTTCTCAAGGCTGTGGATACAAGTCAGTGGCAGCAAAGGCTGGATGCCTGGCATTCTAGCTGTGCATTGTTTGATGTCTTGGCATTTGGGCACCAGATTCCCTATAATGTGGCTGTTGCCTCCCAATTATCTTCAAAGTTAGCTCCCAAATTGTTTAGGTTTAGGGCAACATTCAAAGAAAAGTTAACACCTTGTTGTATGTAGCATATTTTCTCCTGACCCATTAGAGGAGGTCTGAGGGACACTTCAAAGAAAAGCCACTTTATTTGAGCCAATTTCCCAAATCTCTTTAAGCATCTTTTATTGTGATAAAATACACGTAACATAAAATTTACCATTTTAAGGTATACAGTTTAGTGGCAATAAGAACATTCAAAATGTGCAAACATCACCACTATCTAGGTCTCGTAATGCATTTTTTCATCTACTACACAGACTAGAAAATGGCTCCTGAGTTTGAAAAACATAGTTTGAAATGACAGCATATGGTTGAAAAACACTTGTTTTACATAAACATGTCCTAAATCAAACACTTCTAAGAATAACATTTAAACATTAATAGGTAAGTTACTTACCTTCCTGGTCTAAATTGGTCTAAATCCGTTCCAGTACATACGAGCTAAGAATTTCAATATATATTATTTTCTTATCACCAGAGATAATGTATAGCAAACCTAATTAGGCTTAGGGTAGCTGAGAAGAAACATTTTCAACTTTGATATATAAAATTGGGACATTCCTCAAGTTTTAAGTGAAGTGAAATATGATAAACAGAATTTGATTTTTCAGCTTATTTTCACTATATGATTAAACCAAGAAATATCCTTTTTGTGCCAGTATGTCTCAGTCTTTGTGTTTGTTGCATGTTCTATGAATTGATCAGGTGTATGTGTGAAAGGGTGTGTGAATTTGCTACTCCCCTGAGCTCCTCTCTGTTCATGATTCCTCTGCCTAGCCCCAGAGTTAGGGCTTGTCAAATTCACCTTCTTCTTTTTGCCTGGTCCAAGCTACAGCTCTCTTCTGACCAGGAGCCTTCTTTTGATGGAGTAGCCATCCTAAAATTCTTCTTACTCTCAGCAGAATTAAAAGATGATCCTGACATCCTGGCTCACCTGCTTGAGGGGCAGGATGCCCCTGAGCCAGATGACCTACAAGCATCTGCAAAGGCATTTCCTTTAATGTCTTCCCACTATGGAATGGTCTGCGGTCTTTGATGCTTTCCCTGTGATGATTAATCCTAAACCTCCCCTAATCTACCCCCTTGAGTCCCCTGCACAAAAGGTCAGTAGCAGTAATTCTAGACCCCTTTTAACAATAACTCTTTTAACAATAACTTTGGACCCTCTGCAAAACTCAAGATTAACTCAGAGTGAAAGGCAAGAGAAAACGGCAAAGTGGAAAACTGACTAATATCAACAGATGATTTTGCTGGTTGTCTGACTCACAGATTTTTCTCTAATAACATATTAGAAAACATCAAAAATATATTGCTTTATCAGTGAATTTCATCGTACATACTTTTTCTTGACAGCGATTTTGATGGTAGTTTTGTTGTCTGAAAAAGCAAAGAGAGATTGATTTTATTACTGTTGGTTAATAATTTATGTAAATTTCCTCCAAATTTCTAGTCATTGAATCAGATTCCAGCTTGTGCTTGCGAGTTTTTTTCCTCCCCAGCAATTCACGAACAAGATATGGTTTATTTTTTATCTAATCCCCCTAGTTAGCCTCCTAGTATTTAGCCCCTGGGTATAGGACATGCTCTATTACTCAGAGGCGTAGAATAAACACAAACAGCAGAATCGCTGCTGCATATAGTAACACCTACCTGATATTACCACTCTTGACATACCGGGGCCATGTTTGTTCTGTGGTGAGTTGAGAAGAGCATGAGGTTGGAAAGAGAGAGGATAGGCTAGTCCTTTCTGCCTGGCCTGCTTGATCAGAGCTTTCTGATAATTCATTTTCTACCCTCCTCCTCAAAATTCCTAGTCTCTTCCCTGTGCCCCACAGTAGGAAATGATCTATGGATGATTATTAACAATGGTAGATTAAAATAAAGTGTTTTCAAGCATATGTGATACCAAATTAGATGTAGCTCTTTTCTGGGTATCACAGTAGTCTATGTTCTAATCAAAATAATTTATTATCACATACTACATGGAACCAAAATTATACCTTACTTAATTTAATCATGTAAATTATAGAATAATAACAAAGAGTCTTTAAAAATCAAGGCCTAAGACTAGTTCTGATTTATTTTCATACTTTCCTGCCTACATGGATCCCTTGCCTCTCTTCTTCTTGACCTTCTTAAAGGAACAATGGCACTCTATCTTCATTTTTACTTGGCCTGCCCTTATATTATCAAATTTATTTCTTTCCCCAAGGCCTAACAATTCAATTTTGAGAAATATAGTCAGACTGTGAAATTACAACCTAACCCCTAGAAGCAAAAGAAAACTATATAGGTCTCAGCAAGGTTTTGGCAGCAATAGCCCACCCTCAGATAATACCTCTTTTGCAACATGGAACCTGGAACATGTATGCTAACATCAGTGACATAGTTCCTATCCTTTGGCTTCATTTATTTTTCTAAGACCCAGTTTCTTAGGCCAACTCTAGCCCAATTTCCTTTCTGGAGATCCTCTGCAGTCTAAAGCACCCAGATTCTTTTTTCTGCTCTACCTCATACCACAGGCAGCAAGTGGAGTCCTGTGCATTTGTTGCTACCTGTCCCCGCAGGCTTTCTGTCCCAAAGGCATGAATTTTGATAAAAGGAGACAGCACAGACCTGAGAACAAAACTAACCCCATAGATCAGAAAAGCCTCATATGAGACCAGTAGAAATCAGTTGTAATGATGGATACAATCTGCAACTTGCAATGAGCCCATGATCAGTTTCTCATTGGAGTCAGTTGAGCAGAAACATGCAAATGAACTCAATGTTACGTTGGAAAGTTCCACCACAATTCTAGGAGTGCCATGATAGTCTATCTGCTTTTCCCTAGTCTTACGTGGTTTTCTCTGATAGTTGATGTTACTAGAGTGAAGTGTCTAAGGTTTAGGTCATTTGTACTGCCAACCCTCTACTTCTTAAATAAAGATGGCAGTGATATTAATGACAATTAGTTCAGAAGCCCCAAAGATAAGGCATAGACTTTCACAGTTTAATTTGACATGTCATAAAACTATAAAAACCTTTCTGTTCCTGACCTTCTCCTCACTTTAATACAGAAGATACCTGGCCAACCACCCCTTGAAGATTGTGACAAAACTAAATTTTAGCCTGCCTAATCCTTCTGAATATGAATTTTTAATCTAATTAGTGGTCTCCTACTGGTATCTCAGGCCTATAGCTTTGGGATGAGGCCTGATACCTCTTGATCATATATATATGTAGTCCATTCTATTGTCAAATCCATTTACTCATTCCAGTAGTTGAATGTAATTTAAAAGGAGCACCATTGTATCCTAACATCAGTGTTCCAATCTGAGAAGCCAAAGACTGGGTAGTTCCATGGGTGGCCCTCCCTGTGCCTGACATTTTACCCACTGTCCTGTCCTCAATTCACTCTCTGGCATTGCTCATGTCTCCCTGCCTTTTCTCCTGATGCTCTGTGAAGCACAACTGAGGTCAGAAGCAGCGTTTTATTTATCTTGGTATCCCTCTAATACTCAGCACTATTCTTTCTACATAGTAGGTTCTCAAATTTTGATAGATAAATTCCCATTTAACATGTTTTAGATCTATGCATACTTCTCTGTACTCCAAACGAAGATCACTGTGCAGGTTACAAATCATTAGTGGACTTCTGCAGGCGGCATCTATTTAACTGTCTGCAATTTGTCCTACGTGATGATGTCGGAGGTGTGCAGTAGAGTTATTGATTTGATATCACATCCCTCCTCAAAACCACTGGACTGTCATCTAATGAATTAAATACAAACTGAGCACAATCTTCAGGGCAACAGACTCACTGCTTTCTTTACTCTGTTTCTCCTCTCATCTTCCATCCTAACCATAAGATCACACTCAGTATCTATATGCAAAGCTTAATTATTACAACTGTTTACCCCGCCACTATCTTATTACATTTGCTTCCTCTTGTCCTGACTTCTTTGGTTCCTAATTCTATTTTATTAAGCTTACTGTGTATGTCCTTTATGTTAGCATTAGAAAAAACAGAGAACTAAGGAGTTAAGGGAAGAGAAGAGAGCAGAGGTGAATGGTGGAACAGACATGACGACTCCACAAGTTGAGTCCTGGGAAGCAAGGAGCTACATCAGAACAAGAGGACCAAGCCAAAGGCCTCGAACTCGTGTGTTCTCTGTAAGGTAAAGAAATGTGACATAGGTGTAATGGGCGGAGCCATATGAGTTGATGCTGTAGCTATGTTTTCTTGTGCTCTGGCCTGAAACTGTCCTAGGTATAGCTAAAAATATTTAACCCTGTGTATTTCAGAGGAATGAGGGAGAAGCTCCAGGTCATGTGTAGAATTCTTCATCTTAGCTGATTTTTAATAAATGGGTATCCAGAGCATTTGCTATTGAAAAGACTCAAGTGACTCTGTGGTTCTGTAGTCTAAGGTGGGGGTGGGGACAAGAGGAAGAGGGAGGAAGGAATTGACACTATATAAAACTATGCATAATCATTATTCTCTCATCTTTATTTCTTGAAACTATCTTGATACTGAGCTGGTCAGTTTCTTTCCTTCAGCATCCTTGTCTCCCATGAGCCCTGAGTAAATCAGACAAACTGACTTCTATCACCTCTAGCTCAAAATCATTTTCTAAAAAGTTTGGTCTGAATGTCAACACCATTTACCACCATACACTACTTCGCTTTACCCAACCATTTTCATCAGAGTTTGGGATTAAAAAAGTATCCTGATCCTCTTTTGGTTTGTTGACTGTTTGAAAGATGACAGTGTTGGATATGTATATTCTATATGCATGAAATATTATTCAAGTCTGCGGGGACTAGGACATCAGCAGAATAGGTGGCCACCAAGATCTGAGGGCTGAAAAGCCCCCAGGCCAAAAAAAATCTTCACTGGCCTTTATTTTGCATCATTAGACATTGATTACTTTGGATTACAGTGCAAATATCCTTAGGAAGGGGTAACAGATTAAGTCCCTAATACTATATAGTAAACTAATTTATCATCATTAGAAAACCAATAACCTCCAAAGGCACAAATAATGCATGTTTGAATGGGGAGAGAGGAAAAGAATAGATCCAGATCCCAGAATAAGCAGTGCTACCTTAAAAGGGAGTAAAGGTACTGTATATTAGAGGGCACAAAATTAAAGTGAGAACAAAGAGAGGAGGAGGTGGAAGAGCACGAATGATTACCTTTGCCTACTTTACGATTTTAGCTTAGTCCTGAGATGTTGCAAAAGATGAGAGTGTCACTACATACAAGCAAAACTACAAGAATGGAGGATTCATGCAGCACTCCTGTGTAATTATTTAAATGTTAATTTAAAATAATACATTATCATGTTTCCTTAGATACTTACTCAGTTGATGAGTTGTGAGAAGGGATGATTTCATGAACTGCAGTGTATTTTCAGAGAGAAAAATAAAATTACTATTTGTTGGCATCCTTCACAAGCTACTTGTAAAACGGTAATTAACATATCTTAATAGGTCTTTTATTCTATGCTGTCACTGCTCTGCTTAAATCCTCCAGGGACTACTAGGGGGCATAAAATATAACTTAAGATCTGGGCCAATTGCCTACCTCACCAGCCTTATCTCTGGTCAGTATTCTATGTATATTCTATGCTCCAGAGATACTGAACAACACGCAATTCCCTTTGCCTCTGCTCTCACTATTTCCTTTGTAACTCTAGTGTTCCTCTTTTAAATTTCTCATCCTTTGGGACTCATTCAGCTTGTGTCACCTCCTTCAGAGAGCCTTCCTTAATACCTGACTAGGAAGACAGGCATTCTCTGTCAATGCTTCTGAAGCACCCTATACATCCTTCTGTTATAAGACTTCCTATGCTGTATTGTGATTACTATTTTACAGTGCCTGGTATATAGTAAGCACTCAATAACACTTATTTGTTGAATTAATTCTTTAACACACATGTTGGTTCAATGTTTGTTCATCAGTCTGCCTATCATTAATCTCTCCCCACTCAAATACTGTTTAACATGTTTTATATGCCATCTTGCAAAGTTCTGTAAGTAGATTTTAGTAACTATTTCCAGATAATTATACTAACGCAAGTCTTCATGTAGAATACGTTCCTAAGAATACTGGGATGGTGTATGTCAATTATGCACATACATGAATAAACAGTCTTAGACAAACAGAATACTTTGAATAATAGACAGTAGCATTACCAATTAGAGCCAGTTCAAAGTCAAGGTGAATTGCTATTTATTTTTCTCCCAATAAATGTAAAGTGTATTGTGAGTAACCAATAAATTCCAATGATCTGCTTAAAAGTTTTACTTAAATTCTATGTACCTTCTTGAGTTTCCTTTGTGTATATATATGTTTTTGAGTATGTTTTAGAGTGTGTACAGATTTGGAAAGGAAGGAGCTGGAATTAATAGTGCACAAACCTGAAAAAAAAGTATGAAGATAATACTATTGTGGCAGTTTTAAAATATGTCTACAAATTCTTTGATAATACTTCCTCTAAGTGGTAGAGGTTAATTCTTTTCCCCTTACGTGCAGGTTGGATTTACTGACTTGTTTCAAAGGAATATACAGTGGAAGTGATGCTGTATAACTTCTGAGACTAGGTTATAAAATATACTGTGGCTTCAGCCCCTCTCTCTTGGATCACACACTCTAGGGGAAGCCAGATGCCATATCATGAGGATACTCAAGAGATGTATGGTAAGCATGTCCTGCAACAGCCAGGTATGTGAGTAAGCCACCTTGGAAGTGTATCCTCCAGTCCCAGTCAAGCTTTTAGATGACTACAGCAGCCCTGAATGACATCTTGACCTAACCTCAAGAGAGACTCTGAATCAGAACAATCCAGCTAAGTTGCTCCTGTATTCCTAACCACAGAAACTGTGAGATAATGTTTTTTAAAGCTGCCAAGTTTTGGGGTGATTTGTTACTCAGCAATAGATAATTAATGCAATAGTTAAAAAAATAAGGAACTCTTCTATGGTTTCTAGCAACATGGCAGATTATATATCCTAATGAGCCTAACCATGTAAAACCTATTAGAAAAGCAATGGGAATTTGGTAAAAATACAATTATAGTTTAGAACTTCAATACACCTCCTTGATGGCTGGACACATCTAGTGGACAGTAAGAAAAGAGTCTAGGAGACAAAAAGATCAGTAAAGATATGCAATAATTGAATAATATGAACAATAAATATAATTTAAAATTTATTTGGAGCCTTACATCCTTCAAATAGAGAATATACATTCTTTGGTATGCCCATGGAACACATTCAAATATCAATCACATAGAAAGAAAGAAAAGAAAAGAAAAGAAAAGAAAAGAAAAGAAAAGAAAAGAAAAGAAAAGAAAATTCTTAACAACTTCAATGTGTTAAAGATTTACATTCTCTGAACCTAGTTTAAAAATTGTGACCCCAAATCTTAATTTCTTGATAATTAAGAAACATACTTATGGATAACTCTTAGGTCAAAGAGGGAAGGGAACAGCTTTTGTTATTTCCCATTTTCCCATAGGTTTTGATATAAGGCATTCTTTTTATTGCTTCTCCCATGAGTCCCAGACCAATATCTATAACTGCCTACTTGACTGTTCTACTTAGATGTCCCACTTGGATGCTCTCAGGCACCTCAAACTCAATACATTCAAAGCTGAACTAAGTTTTTCTCTCCCAGACTTGTTCATCCTTCTGTATTGCCTATCTACTGAATGGCACCACTATTCACTATCCATTAAGTTGCCCAGTCCAGAAATCTGGGAGTTGTTTTCAATTCACTCTTCTCCCATATTCAATCAGTTACCAGATCTCATCCATTCGACCTTCTTAGTCTGAGTCAAATCTGTGCCCAGTTCTTCATCCTCACTGTCACTGACTTTGTTCAGGACTTATTTCTAGGCTTGACTATTGTAAACAGCCTCTTTAACTGTAGTGAGAGGCAGTATGGTATTGCAGTTAGGATTGGTTGAGCAAGATTGACCTGGGTTAAAACCCAGGCTTTGCCACATATTATGTGAAATCTTGGGCACTCTGAGACTTAGTTTACATATGTGTAAAATGAGGATAAAAATAGTTTTACTGTCAGGAGGGTTAAATGAGAGAATATAGAGTTTAGCATAGTACCTGGTACATAGTAATACACTATGCTCTAATGCAAAATAACTTGGTAAATATATTCCCTTCTCCTGGAAGGTTCTCCTTCCATTTGTCTGCTTAGAAAATTCTTTCTCATCCTTCATGTTTCAGCTCAACTGGGGCCTCTTCTGTAAAAGCTTCCTTGGCTTTGCTATGCTTCCACTGCACTTTGTATGTACTTCCTCTCTTACACTGATCATATTGGGTTGTGATTACTGGCTTGACTGTTCTCCATTAAACTGTAAAATCCAGTCTAGGGACCATGGCTTTTCTACTTTGTATGTTCAATAATTAACACAGTACATGCAATGTAGCAAAAGCTCAATAAATGTTAGTTGAATGAACGCATTAATGGATTGCAAGATTTCCTTAATAACTATTGCTAATGTTTATCTGACTTACAGTTTACAGTTGTTTTCTTGGCCTTCTTCCCATTCAAATCAGCATCTGTTACCTATATATGCCACAAGGAAAAGAAAATCCTCAAAGGAGTTTTCAAAGAATTTGAACATCAGCTATTTCTCACAGGAGTTTAATAAACTGATTTAAAAGTCATTTTATAATAAGTGTACATGTTTTATTTGGTTTACATTATATATTACTTATGGAATTCATAATATACTAAATTAACTGACGAATGTACTGATCAGCATGGAAGGTAATCGGCTGAATAACTAAAAAAAAATGTGTGGGTTTTAAAGAAAGTTAACAATAGGGGAAATGTTTTGAGAGCGCTGGAAGGCAGAGAGCAGGTTTTCTCATATGTGGGATGTGACTCTTTGATTTGGCCAAGAGCTCTACCTGCTTAGGTAATTATTCAGGAAGATAAATCTAATGCAGTAGACCTCATTTGTTTTCCAAGTCTGAGAGCTGAACACAAGCCACCAGAAGTACCTTTCCTGACACTGATGGGATGGGAGAAAAAAGCTGGAAAACAGTGTTGGGTTCTACTGTAATAAAAGTGGTCATGTTATTTCTCAAAATAAATTAGGTATTTGTGACCATTTGATGTACTCATATTGTCCAATGTATTTTAAAGCTTTCTTTAAAAACAGATGGTCTAAATTTGTTTATTGCCTTTTTTGGTGGGGGCAGGTAACATGTACTATTAAGTTTGCCATCCATACTACACTTAGTAATACTTTTTTTTTTCTGACACTACAGTGAGGCTAGTGAAAAAATTAATTCCTGGTGTGCAACTACTAGACTATCTCAAAGTAGTTAAGAAGATTCTTTTTTCAGATACTGAGCATACCGATTATGGATACACAGCAGCAAAGTGCCCCGGACTCAGCAGGAGTTTCATAAATATTTCTTTATACAGTGAAGCATATTGTGGCTAACATGCTGCATTTGAGCAGCATATATCATTGAGTCTGTCACTTACTATGCTTTTTAACATAGGATATGGCAAAGGATGTCAGTTTCTACCTTAGCTGTGTAGAATTCATTTGGGAAAACTTTAGTGAATGTCCTGCTTGATAACATCTCTTTCAAACCATGTTAACTTTTTAAAACAGCTGAGCTAGTTAACACAGTGCTAATGGAGCCAAGGACATAGATTTTTAAAAAAATTTTTTCCATTTAATAAGATTATTTTATTTTTGTAAAGAAATTTTAAATACATATAAATTCTGAATTTCAAGTGTTTATTTTACTAAACTAACAAACACTGGCATTTCAGGTGGAAGAGATCAGCCACAATTTAGTATCACTACTGGAGCCGAGGCCTCATCTTTAGGTCCCAAAGCACTTGCAATGGTTGAAGATCTAAAGGACATTTTCCGGACAGAGCAGAGGGGGTAAAGCAGGAAGGCAGGGCTGTATCACGGGAAGAAGGGGCCCATCAGAAGGATGTGGATTTGATTCTTATAACGAACGACAAATTGGCAACCCACAGAGGCGATATATGTTGTGACCAGAGGCTGAACCCTGAATGCCTGTTGCCAATTTCCCACCATCAGATGAGTGACCACTGATCATAAAGGGGATAGAGTGAGGCTGGATGTCTCTGCACAACCCACCAGCACTAGAAGAGAAATGATTCACAAAAGCCCAATTTGTTGCTTCCTCTGCAGGGCACAGGTATCGACCTTGAAGCTCCTAAAGCTCATTATTTGGGAAGCCTATAACCCAAGGGCTAAAGAGGAACATTCAAGTTGTTTCTAGTGAATCTCTATTAAGAATTGAGACAAATATTCACATTTTGGATCCATTTAACATATTTAAAATCTCAGCCTCACCAATTTTCTTTTGCTAGCTTACAACTTGTTACTGATAGTCCCTATCAGTAGCTAACGTCCAGGCCAGCCTTGGGAGCTGGGAAAAGGATGTATTTTTAGTCCCTATACTTAGAGTATGGCAACACTAACATAACTGATGGCTATGAGAGTCAGAAGTCTGAAGTAGCACAGGATTATTTCTGTGAGTCTGCATTTCAGTTTTTATAAAATCTTACTATAGAGTGGTTAATTTCAGGGAACAAAGCTGTTCTTAACTGTCATTTAATGAATAAAACTGTGTTATGCTAATCTTGATCATAACTTCATACTTCGTTTGTTTCATCTATATCTGGGACAAAAGAAACGTTACTTGCCTCTCGATTCGAAATATGCCGTGTAGTGTGTCTATAGACATTTGCTGTTTTAGCAGAAACATCTGGAGCTTGAAGTGAAGTGCTTGTAGTTTCTGGGGGAAAGAAGAGAACCTTTAAATATGAAAAAATGATATAGTTCTTGCTGGGCTGCCATAATGTCTAGAAATACCATAGTCAAGGATGCATTTATTTATAGAAGTTCAGGCAGTATCTCCAAGTATAAGATGCTTTTTTTGAAGTCCCCTACTTACAAGCTTCTAGTGGCTCACCACAGCCCTCTGGGGGACAAGCCTGAACTCCCTAACTTCTGACCCTAAATTACTTCACCAGCATAATCTCCCTCTACTCCCCCACCCTAGAGTGAACTGTTCTGCACTTTATTCAGTAGGCAAAGGGGAACCACCGAGGACTTTTGGGTAGAGAAATTATATGTCCAAAGCTGTATTTCATGAAGATTACATTCACAGCAGGATGTAGGAGAGATTAATAGGAAGAAGAGGAGACTGGAGGCAAATTATTGCAGAACTTAAGGGCATGGGTGGTATGAATGAAAAGGAAGGGAAGCTTATAAGAGAATTTAAGAAGGTAGATTGGACAGAAGGTGGCAACTTTTGGATATAGAATATGAGCAATAGGAAAGATTCAAAGATGACTCAGGTTTTGTGCCTGAATAAAATTAGGAGGAATAGAGAACAGGTTTGGGAGTGACCAGAAGATGATGAATTTGGTTTTGTGCATACTGGATTTGAGGTGCTCGTGGGCCACTCAGGTGGAGATGTCCTAGTACTCTTGGACACTGTGTGCAGGATATGAGTGGGAATATTTTGCAGAGACTAACAGAGACTTAACTAACCTCCAGGCCAGCTCTGGGAGCTAGGAAAAGGATGTATTTTTATGTTTTGGGAGAAAGGATGGCATGAGAGTGTAGAGACCTTCCTGGGGAGAATTCTCTGACAGGGGTTCCCTAACCATAGTATGTCAGGAACTTATATAGGAAGCCACAGCAGAGACTCTAACTTCTCCACAATTTCTTTGCAAATTCCAAAGGGCCTATTCACCCAGGAATCACTCAAAAATGTGGGATACTAATATTTACAATCATGAATACTTTTTATATCTTCCTTTATCAAAATAATCATAGACTTTTATAATCAGGGAAAAAGTATAACTTTGAAAACTATATGACAAAACTAATTATTTAACTGAAAGATATTATAAACACTGTTCATTTTCTTACCTTTGTCATTTAAAGAATATGATGTTCTAATCATTCTTCTATCTTTCTGTATGGTTTAACGTTAAAGAAAAAAACATTAATCACTAATTAGCCTTCTAAAAGAAGCTTTTGCTGACCCTAGAGCAATGAAATTAATACAGTATCTCCCCCTTCCCCCCACCCTCTACCTCTCTCCTAAACTCTGGTCTCAATGCTAACACATATTATCAACCTCTTACTGGGTACCTTTTCCAGGTACCTAAACTTAACTAGTTTAAAATGACACTTATCATGTACCTAGGTACTCCCATTTTTCCAAACTTGCTACTCTGTCTCTCATATTTTGGTTAAAAGCAAAACAATCTATCCAGTGCTCCATTCTAGAAAGCTTAGAGTTGTTCCATTTATTTCAGATAAGGCCAGTCTAATCTGATACAATGCTTATTGAGTATACTGCATGGAACTGACATAAGATATGTAATTCCTGACCTCAAGAAGTTTATCATCCTGTAGAACAGACAAATATGATGGAGTACAATGAGTTCTGAGATAGGAGGTAAGCCTGAGCACCATGGGAGCACAGAGAAAAGACAGCCCACTTCAAGAAAACCTATATACAAAAATTCAATCTTCTCCTTTTCCTCCTCCTCCTCCTCCTTCTTCATCCTCCTCATCATCTCCCTTTCTCTGGATCCAGGCATCTATTGAGTCACTAAATCCTGACATAGTGGATCCAGGCATCTATTGAGTCACATAATCCTGACTCTGAAATATCTTAAATCTGGGCCTCTGGTTCACCCTCATTGTCACTGCCTTTGTTTGGGGCTTTATCATTTTTATCTGACTGTCCCAGTAGACTCAACACTATCTTGTCTTTAGTCTCTTCTATGTATTTATCTCACACACTGCAGCCAGATATCTTCTGAAACCCAAATCATTCTGATTACACATTGCTACTCAAAAACTTGCTATGGTTCCCTACTACTGAGAGAATAAATTCATACTTCAGCAAGGTATACCAAGCTCTGACTTCAACCTACCTTTTTCATTCTCCTCTCCTGCACTGCCCTGGCTTTGCTGGCTTGAACATTCATGCTTTCACTTATCACTTTAAGTCTGTCTGCAACACTCCCTCACTATATGCTCATCATCTGGAAACTTCCCACTCACGTTTTAAGACCTACTTCAATTAAGCCCTCTTTTTATAAAGCTTTTTTAGATTTCTCCAGGTAGGACTATTTTCTAAATCTTCTGTACTTCCACATTGTGAACAAATCAAAACTTTCTTCTCATTTGACTGTAAAGACTTTTGTTTATGTGTGTCTGATCCCTGAATGGTGAGTCCTCAAGAGCAGTGATGATGTCTTTTCCATCTTTGTATGTCACCTACTTTCCCCCTTTTCCCTTCCTTCCAGTTTAGCACAGGACCTGGCCCACAGCAGTTCTCAATAAATGTCAGCTATCATCATCATCATCAAATTATTTGTTAGTTTCTGCTCAACTACATGGCACATTTAGCATGAAGCTGACACAGAACCTTCTCTACCAGGGAGAGGGTCCAGACCTATGTAGAACCCCATTATTTCTTTTTTTAAAATTTTTTTCTTTTTTTTTAACATTTTTATTGATTTATAATCATTTTACAGTGTTGTGTCATTATTTCTAACCAGTCAGTACCATGCCTGTGAAAGGGCTCTCCTATAGAAAGAAAAGTTAACCAGATAAATGAATGATCATCACGAAGCACCTGGGACATACGATTTTCTACCTTTTGTTCTGTTGTGTTCCTCCGTACATTATGCTGAGAAGGTAATGAAGTTAATGATGCTTTGTCAGAAATCTTTACAGAACTAAACAAATGGTGAGATGGTCCTAAAAGCAAATGAAAGAGAAATCATATTATTTTTGATTTTATTGAATTTGACTTTATTGAGTTATAACTGAAGTACAATAAAGTACGTATATTTAAAATGTAGCATTTGTTCAGTTTTGACATATGTATAAACCTATGAAACCATCACCACAATCAAGATAAACATTTACATCACCCTCAAAAGTTTCCTTGTGCCCCCTTATAGTTCCTCTCTCTACTCCTGTCTCCCAGGCAATCACTGATCTGCTTCACTATAAATTAGTTTGCATTATCTCGAGTTCGCTATAGAAGGAATCAAAGAGGATGTCCTACTCTTTTTTTGGAGGGAGGCATGTGGTTGTCTGGCTTCCTTCATTCAGCATAATTGTTTTGAGATTCATCAATATTGTTGCCTGTATTAATAGTTTACTCCTTTTTATTGCTGACTAATATCTCATGGATGCACTACAGTTTATCCATTTGCCTGCTGAAGGGCATTTGGGTTGTCTCCAGTTTTTTTTAACTATTATGAATAATGTTTCTATGGGCACTGATTTACACGTCTCAATGTGGACATCTATTTTCATTTCTTGTGGGCACATACCTAGGGGTGGAATGACTGAAATCCTTTATGGTAGATGTAAGTTTAACTTAAGCTGCCAAGGTGCCTTCCACAGTGGTTGTACCATTTTACATTCCCACCAGCAATGTCAGAGTTCTAGTTGCATCACATCCTTGCAAATACTTAGTATGGTCAGTTACTTAAATTCTAGACATTTTACTTTGGTTTGTATTTCCCTAATGACTAATAATGTTAAACAGCTTTTCTTGTGCTTATTTGCCATCTGTATGTCTACAGTGAAGTGGTTGTTCATGCCTTTTGCCCATGTTTATTAGGTTGTCACATTACATATATTACATGTTTTCCTATATTTTACATTTTTTACAGTGATCATGCCTTTGATATGTAGGACCTGAGACCATCTTTCATTGCACTTACTTATGGGCCTTGACAGATATGAGACAAGCATTATGCAATAGGGCTATTGTTTAAAAATTTTATTTTTTTTTCATTTTTGACTTTCTAAGTACAAGATCTCTACTCTAGTCTTTCTGCCTGCGGGTGGAGCTAGAAGAAGGGAGGTTAGAATTTTTAATTTTTTTTAATGGGGGTAGGTAATTAGATTGATTGATTTATTATTTTTTTAAACTGAGGTACTAGGACTTGAACCCAGGACCTCATGCATGCTAGGCATGCACTCTACCACAGAACTATACCGTCGTCCCTCCAGGGAGGTTAGAATTTTTAACAGGAGGAATGCCATGACAAATATCCAGGTAATATTCAGCACCTGGCATCCCAAAATACGATGGCATGGCCAAGACAGTATGTCTTGCAAGCCTTGCAGTTCTATCAAGAATTTTCCTAAACTTTATATTCCTTTTTGTGTAGCAACAGCCTGGAATAGTTGGTTCAGAAAATTCTCCTTTAGTGCACTGGAGATACTCTTACCCCATGAATAAGAGTTATCTGGGGTCAGGAAGAAGAAGGAAAGGCCTTAAGGAAAGTTAGGGGGAAAAGTCCACTCCTTCAGCACCTCAGAGATGGTGGGAAAATGGAAAGGTGGTGGGAGAGGCTGGAGAGCAGAGAAACCAGATGGTGCTTCACATTTTCCTAACTTTGGGCCTTGGTTGCTTCAGGTAAGTGAGGTTAACATGGAAAAAAAAGAACTATTGCTCTGCTCTTCATTTAGGACTCTAGGTTTCTTTAGCTAGCCCCCACCCTGGCCTCCTCTTCCTTCTCACCTGGGGCATGGCCCAGAAACTTTGCAGTATAGTGTGGTCAGGCAGAGCAAGGCGCTCTCTGAGGTTTTTTTTCCCCCGAGGTTTTGCTTTCTTTTTTAAAATCTGCTTTACTGGTATATGACATTGACACATAAAATTGTAAGACAGCTAAAGCATACATTGTGGTGATTTGATATAGATGTATACTGTGAAAGGATTCCCCCCATTCAGTTAATTGACACATCCATCAACTCACATATTTATCTTTTGTTGTTGTTGAAAACATTTAAGTTCTACTTTCTTTGCAAACTTCCAATTATACACTACAGTGTTATCAACTAGAGTTACCATATTATACATCAGCTCCTCAGACATTATTCATCTTATAACTGAAAATACGTACCCTTTTACCAACCTCTATTTCCCCTTGAGGTTTTGCTTTCTTAAGCCTCTCTTGGTTCCCATGTGGTATATACATGGCCCAGAAAAGGCTAAGAGTCTAGCTGGGGAGTTTGCCAAGGCGAGTGACTGGTGGAGGTGAGGGGGCTCCACCAGGAGTGTTATGGAGCAGACAGAACTGAACTGAGGTGGAATGGGAAGTCCAGAGGCTTCTACTAAGCCAAGTGAGACCAGACCATGTGTCACTGCACAGATGGCCAACTCCAACTGTGAATGCCAACAGGCCAAGCACTATCTCAGTGGAGACAAGGGCATCTCTCTGGAGACCAGAGGTGGTAGAGGACATTTCATCCAAGCACCCTGACTTTATTCCACCTCCATGAGGTCATGGAAGCCAGCGTTCCCCAAACTTTAACATGCATATAATACACTGGGGGATCTTGTGAAAATGCAGATTTGGATTCAGTAGGCCTGGAGTGGGGCCTGAGAATCTGCATTTCTAATAAGCTCCAAGGTGATGCCCACACTGCTGACATTTAGAGGAGTCAGAGCATAAGCCACACCTCTTGCCCCAGATGTCTAGGCACCATCTTTGGAAAAACAGAATGATGGGGAGGCCCCCTGAAAGTCTGAGCCATTTTGGGGGCCCTGCAAAGGCAGGATCTGGAGCAGTATGTTAGAAAAATCAATGACCGAGCCAGAAAGCCAAAGGAAGGCAGGCACTTAGATCCAGCACATAGTGCTAGATGTGTTAAAAACATGTTAAAGAAGCCCACTCAAGAAGTAGGCTGAAATGTTAAAGTGGCAGCGGATACCACTCAGTTGGGCTGTTCTAAAAGGAACAGGGAAATAAGAGTGGGCGACACTGATGGTGCACTCCACTGCTGCAGAACAATATGGGACACAGTAAAATATTTCTGTTGCCAGTGAAGTGACAAAAGTCACTTTAGGCCTGAAAAGTTCAAAGCCTAAGGGAGGGCCGGGTTTTGAGAGAGAGCATTGGTCAGGGTCAAGGACCTCACTAGGGCCCTAGGGCCCTAGGCTTCAGAAACATCAGTAGCACCTCCAGTGAGCAATTTGCAAGGATGGTTCTCCAGGTGAAACAAATGAGATGCAGGTAACATCTTCCCTAGGAGGCAGAAGTGCTGAGCAAGGTGTGGCAACAGTGGTGGCAGCAGCCAGAGAAGCACAGGCTAAAAAAAATGTCTCGGGATCTTGTAGGGAATGGAAAAGTACAGAAATGAGATCAGGAGCAGGGGCTGTGGAGAGGACAGGGCTCTGCGCTGGGCTTGCAGAGTTGTCAGCTACGAAACGTGGGCTGTCCGGCTCAGTAACACCCATAAGTAATTAGGGAGTCTAATCTGACTCCCTAAGTCAAGAGAGGCTGTAGCATTGTTGGTAAGCATTACTGAAAATCCATCACTTATAACAGGATAGAGGATTTATCTGCATTATAAGCAGAAGAGATCAGTTCCAAATCCAGTCTTTACACAAATTACTATTTTAGTATTTCTAATCATAACATTTCAATTACGTTTTTGTCCTTGGTGTAACTTCTGGTGACTGGCAGTGGCACTCGGTTCCTTGACCTTTGGATAAGGAGCTTAAAAAAACACAGTAAAACATTTATTTTTAATAGTGGAGATGACAAAGTTATTCAAGATAGATTCTATTTATACTTTCATACTCAATAGGAAGAGAGCCATGTCCTGATCTGTATATGGGGTTGTGGAGTAGAGTTGGAGAGGAGGTAGTGGGTCTCACTGGGAGACAACTTTGTACCCCAGGGGACATTTAGAAATGTCTGGAGACATTTTTGGTTGTTACAAATTGGGGAGGGGATTTACTCCTCCTCTAGTGGGTAGAGGCTATGGATGATGCTAAACATACTACAATGCACAGGACAGTCCCCATAACAAAAAATTATCCAGCCCAAAATGCCAGTAGTGGCAAGGCTGAGAAATCCTAGGTTAGATGTGTTGGAGAGGCAGGACAATCACTTATAATATCTTGTTTAGTTAAAGCTATACTTGAGGGGGCAGAGTTGTCTTCTGGCAGAAGTGAAAAACTCTATCCTCCATCCTGCCCAAGGAGAACATGGCTTTTCCTTTGTATGGGGATGCAGACTAGCATAATGACGGTGCTGGAGACCCTGCAGACCACAGTGGCTGTGATGATTCTTGGTTGTGTCTCAGAGCCTGGACGAGGTAACCATATATACAGATCTCATCTGTGAAGAATGTAACTACAGTTCCGGTCTCTAATTATCTAGAAATAGACAAAAGGATTCCAAACTACATGTGTGCAAACTGTGTTCTCATCAGTTATGTGTATCCCTTGGTGTCCGTGTGTAGTAGATGGCCTTGTTACAGTGGGTAAGTCAATTTCATATGTGAAATAGACATCTTCATTCTCCCATCACCTCCATGATACAGTGAACATAAATTCTTTTTCAAAAAGCATTTGACGTGGCCACTGTTTAATATAAGATGCCTACCTGAAACTTTCTTGCTACTGGAAGTAGAAGGTAACGGTTGAAGATGGAGAGAGCAATCTGACTGCTAAAGTGATGTACTCTCCCAGAGGCAGATTACAGTCTCATCTTCTCACTGAACTGAATTCTGAGCTCTTCTTCGTGACTCCTCCTTCATAAACTATTCATTCCTTCCTCCCTCCCACACTGTCTGTTCTTACTGGCTGGTCCTTTTTAAACTTTTGCTTGTATACATTCTCTTCCTTATCTTTTAAAAAAGTCTTTTCTGTACTCCCTTTAAAACTTCTTTTTCACCATTTCTTTTTCTCTCCCTCTCTCCTCCTCTTCTGGCCCCTTCCCTTCCCCACCCTTTTGACTCCTCTCTTTTCTTTCTTTTTACTATTTACTGATCCATTTAAAAAGTTTTTCATTTCTTCTCTTTCCTTTTGTGTACTGACTTTTTACCGGTTTTTCCTTTTTCAGATCAGTTCTATCTATGTATGTGTGTCTGACTATCTATCTATCTACCTACTTATCTACCTACATCTGCCCACCTACTTACCTATTTAATTGCGTAGCTGTCATCAATCTACGTATCTTTGACTCTAGTTATTAACTGACTTCTTTTTAGATTCCCCTTTCTCCTGCTCTGTGCAACTGTCCTTAATTTTCACAGTAGCTCCTCCTTTTAAACTCCTGTGTCTCTGTCATGTTGTCTCTACTTTTTCATTTTGCCATTTTTCCCTAGCCTCGTCCCTTTAAAAATTCTTCACTTTAAAATTCTTTCCTACCTTCTTCCATCCCTCCCCTTTTTCCTTCCTTTCTTCCTCCTTCATCCTTTTCTACTCTCTCTTTTACTTCCACTTTCACTATTTTGTTCTTTTTTTGAACTATATTTTATTTGCTACTCCTTTTAGAACTTAATTCACCTTCTCTTTTTATTATTTTTTGTAGTGGCATTTATTACTGCCTCTTCCTTATTAAACATCTTCATTCTTCTCTTTCTTACCTTCTTCTCTAACACTATCATCTCTGTAGTCTTTTCTTACTCATTCCCCCCCTTTTTAATCTCTCTCAAATTTACTATTGGCTCCTCCTTTTTAAACTCTTCTGCTTGTGAAACATTCTCCTTTTCTTATGTCTCTGACTTTCCTTTTCCCTTTTCTTTTCTTTCTCTCATTCTCCTATTTTTCTCTGTTTTACATATTCTTGTAAATTATTCCATTTTGACGCACCTGCTTTTTCTTTCATATTTCCTCCTTCCTTCATTCTTTCCTTCCCTTATTCCATTTCTTCTTCTCATTCCCTTTCTGTATTTCTCTTTCTCCTCTGTGCCTGTCTGTATGCAGCCTGCCTGCCTTCCTCTCTTCCTGTCCTACCCTAGCCTGCCCTACCCTGTCCTGTCCTGTCCATCTTCCCCCTTTCTTTTACTCTCTACATACTTTCACTTTTCCTTTTCCTTTCTAACTCTTCTCCTCTCTTTCATGTACTTACTTACTTTTTTACTGGGTTCTCTTTTTTAAAAAAGTTCTATCTATCGATCGATTAATCGGTCCATCCATCTATCAATCACCTATCTACGGTTCTATCTATTCATATTTTATATACTTTACTACCTGTCTACATTTCTATCTAGCCGTCAATTCATCCATTCATCTTATGTCACTAATAATTTAACTGACTGTTTTTTTAAATTCGAAGTTGCCTGTCTGGTTTCCTTCCATTTTTCCCTCCCTCCCTTTGTCCCAACTTCTTTTTCTTCCTCCCTTTTCTTCCTGGCTCCTGCTTTTAATTTTTTGTTCTTTTTCTTGCACTTCTTTTTTTCTTTTTACCCTTTTACTGGTACTTCCTTTCATAGTCGGTTCTGTCCATCTGTTTACCTAACTATAAATCATCTATTGGTCTATCAACATTTTAGTTTTTTAAAAAAATGATTATTACTTCTAATCTTTAAATCTCTTTCACTTCCAGACAGTTGTACTTGATTTTCTTACTGGCTCCTCTTTTTCCAAACATTCTCATGCTCACCTTTAATCTCTTTTCTTTTCCTTCTTATACCAACTTGTACTTTTTCTTTCCTCTCACTCACTTTTTTATATCTCCTCTTCCTTCCTTTCTGTACGTCTCTTTCACTATGTTTCCTTCACTGTCTTTCTTTTTTCCTTTTCCTGACTACCCCCTATCCTTCCTCTTCTCTCTCCTTCCTGCCTGCCTTCCATTCTTCTTCTACTCTTTTTACTGGCTCCTCTTAAACTTTTCATTTCTCCTCTCTTTTTGACTCTGTCTTTTTTTGTGCTGTCTTTACTGTTGGCTTCTTTTTAAAGCCCATTCTGTCTATCTCTGCGTATCTTCATCATCTATCTGTCATCCTTATTTTACTGTATTTTTTTTTACTGAATTTTGCTTTTTAAATGTCTATCTCTGCAATATGTTCACAATTCGACTTCATTTTGTAGTGCGCGCCTCCTTTTTAAACTTTTTTCTCACTTTCACATTCTCTTTTTATTTTTTTCCTACTCATCCCTTTTACACTTTTAGCCTTTCTTTCTAGCATTCCTTCCTCCCTTTCCTCCCCACCCCCTCCCTTTCTCTAGGACTCCTGGTGACTTTCTCTCACTCTTTCTGGCTTTTCTGTCTTCTTTGCCTGCAGGCCTGCGTGCATTTTTCCTCCCTCCTTCCTTCTCCTCTCTCTTTCCTTCCTCTCTCCCATTCTTCCCACCTTCCCTCCGGCCTTTCTCTTCTTTCCTTTGTCCTTCATTACGTTTTTCCTTCTTATATTTCTCCCTCTAAGGGTCCTCCTCCCTCTCTCCCAACCCCCTCACTCCCCCTTCCTACTCCTACTCTCATCTTACTGCCTCCAGTTTTTAAACTCCTTTCTTTCCTTCTCTTTGTAACTCTTTTTTTGTATTATCTTTTTTACTGGCTTTTTTTTTACAGTCCTATTATCTAGCTATCAAATCATTTGTCCTCATGTTACTGTATTCTTTTATTGGCTTTTCCATTGTAAATGGACCTCAATAGCACACAAAATTTGATTTGATTTGCTTACTGGCTCCATTTTTAAAAATTTGTCTTTCCTCTTTTTCCCCCCCTTTCTTTTTGTCTTGTCATTTTTAGTTCATATCTATCTATCTATCTATCTATCTATCTATCTATCTATCTATCTATCACCTATCTTTATTTCACTGTATTTTTAAACTGACTGACTTTTTTACCCTCTCCCCCACTATATTTGATTTTACTTTATAAACTTTTTTCTTCCATCTTTCACCTCTCTTTTCTAACTTTCTATCTTTTTTGTCCTAGCTTTTTTTGTAGGCTTTTCCTCTATGGAGTCTCATCTACATACCTATCTAGGTATCAATCATCTCCATCTTTCTTCTAACTCTTTTTTAGTGACTTTTCAAAACTTCCCCCACCCATATCATACTTGATTTTCTTACTTGCTCCTCATTTTCAATTCTCTCTCCCCTTTTACTCTTTTGCACTGTTTTGTCTTGTCCCCTGTTTGTTTTATTCCATATGTCCAAGTGTTTTACTTGCTCTTTCACTTTGTTTGATCTCTTTGCTTTCCTTCCCTCCTTCATCTCTCTAGCCTGTTCCTCACTTCCTTCCTCCCTCCTTCCTCCCTCCCTTCTGCTTTAAAAATTTTTTAATTTATATTTTATTGCTTTCCTCCTGCTTTTTAAAAAAACTCACTTTTTATGGGATCTGCCTCAAACTTTCATCTGTCTGTCTGTCTATCTATCACCCATGATGTTTATTTTACAGTCTCTTTCTCCCTCAAGTCTTTTAAAACTGCCCCCATGTCCCCAGTTGGGGGCTGCTTTTCAAGCTGCTCTCTTCCACAATCACATTCCCTTTTCTTTTTTCTCTTCTTTTTTCCTACTGCCACAACCTTTTAAAACTTCCCTTTTTTTTTCTTTTTCGGGTTTTATTCTCTTCATCTTTCACTCACTTTCATCCTGTTCCTTTCTGTTTCGTCTTCCTTCCTTCCTTGCCCCGTTCCCCCTCCCCAGTCTCTCTTCCTCAGGTGCTTCTCCATCCCCCCACTGTTCTTTCCCCCCTGCCCCTACTCTCCCCTCTCTTTACTCACTTTTTATGGGCTCCTCTTCTTAAACTTTTCTTCCTTCTTTCTCTCTTTCTCTCATCTGCCATCTTGTTTTGTACTTTTGTTTTTCCTAGCTTATCCTTTTTAAAGTTGGCTTTCTCTCGCTCTTATTTTACATGTTTTTTACTGACTCCTTTACAAGTCTCTCTCACACAATCATATTCCCTCTTTTTCTATCTTACTTTTCCATACTGACTCATCCTTTTAAAAAACTTTTTTCCTTCCTGCCTTTCCTTCTCTATTCCCTTTTGCCTTTTCTTTCCCTCTCTTTTCCTGCCTGCAAGCCAGCCTTCCTCCCATCCTTCCGCCCTATTTTATTCTCTTTTCACAGGCTTCTCTTTCCAAACTGTCTTTTTCCCTTCTCCTTCTAACTCTCCTCTCCTTCTATCTTTTTTGTCCTGCCTTTTTACTGGCTCCTGTCTTGTAACCTCATCTTATTTATCTGTATTCTCTTTGTTCTTTCTATCTCTCTTTCACTGTCCCTCCTTTCTTTCTTCCATGGTTTCTTTCTGTATTTTCCTGTACTGCCTTTCTTACTGGCTATTGGCTCTTCTTTTTGAAGTATGTTCACATTTTCTTCCTCCCTTCTCTCTTCTCTCTCTCATTTAACAGTCCTGTCCTTTGTAACCTTTTAGATCTCTCTTTCCTTATAGTACTATTCTTTTTTTCCTCTCCCTTTTGCTCGGTCTCTATTTCTCCACTTTTCATTTCACTCTTTGCTTTTTCTCTTTTTCTTTCTTTTTTGTTTTATTTCCATATTTTCTTTCACTGCCTCCTTTTTAATATTTTCTTTTTTTTACCTATTCTCCCCTCCTACTGTGTCCTATCTTCCTTTTATCTTCATTGTACTGCTTTTTCATTCAGTCTCTATTGTACTGCTTTCTGTTACTGGCTTCTCCTTTTCAAAGTCTCTCTCTTTATTTAAGTGTCTTACTTCACTAAATTCTCATTTTTTTCCCTCTCTCTCTGCCACTGCCCTCCTCCTCCAAATTGTATCTGATCTTCTTACTGGCACCTCTTTTTCAAATTCTTCTCTCACTTTCACATTCTTTCTTTTTCTTTATTTTACTTTTTCCTACTGACTCATCCTTTTTAAACTTCTTTCTTCTCTTTCTCCCTCCCGCCTCTCTGTTCCTGTATTTTTGTATGTCTTTTTCTCGCTCCCTTTCTTTCACTCTCTCTCTTTTCTTTGTCTCTTTGCCTTTCTTCCTCCTACTCCTTGTCTCTTTCTGTCTCTTGTTTCTTTGCCTTTGTCTTCCTTCCCCTCCTTCATCCTGTGGGTGTCTGTGTGTGTTTTCTTACTACCTTCTTCTGCTCAATATTTTTTCTCTCATTCATTCTCCTCCTCCATTTCATTCCTTCTGTATCATCTTTTCTTACTGCCTCTTTCTTTCAAATCTTTTTGTTCTTTCTTTTTAGTTCTGTCTCTTGCTTAGTATAATTTAAAATCTCTCTTATCTATGTTAAAAAAACTTTCTTCCTCTTAGTAGCTTCCTTTGTTCTGTAAAATTTTCTTACTGAACCTCAGTTAAAATTTTTCTTCTATTTTTTTCTATATTTTCTTTCATTGTCTCCCTCTTTGTTTCAGTCTAATTATTATTATTATTGTTATTATTATTATTATTGTAATCTTACTGCATCCTCTATCTTACTGGCTCCTTTCCTCTCTGTATATAGCTCTGTCTCTTTCTTATTTTTTTTTGTACTGTGTCCTCTTACTGGATCCTTTTTAAACTTCTAGAAAAGGCTCCTGTCTACTGAGTCACTTTATAGTGGTGTTTAATTTGTTATCATGTCTATAATATAATAATATTGAGTATATGTATGTGTGCCTACATTCTGTACAACTTGAGCTGTCACCGGAAAGTGCCTTACACAGTCCCTGGCACAGGTGAGCTTCTAGAATTTCCCTTTGCAAAGGCCTCATGAACTCACTGTGTAAGCACATAAGGGGTTTACAAAGCCACCAATATTTGACATACAGTAATGCATCTTCTACTTAGCTACTTTGTCTTTTATTGTCACTCACCTTTTGTTTCATCTTCATCTTTGTCTTCAAACATACTTCCCTCTGATCCTTCTCTCTGAAGGTCATTCCTTTGCATTTTTCGTAAATGATAAGCGATTTTTTTCTCTAGAAGTGTTTGTTTCTAAAAACGTTAAAAATATATTTAACATATTTAAAAATTAAATATCAACTTGCCATTGGAAATGCAAAACAGACATTTCAAAGATGACGGTATATCTGAAGGGAGCCCTCATTCCTGTCTTGAGATTTCTAAAGTCATAATGAGTACAAAGCTAGGAAGGTAATAAGGGTAAGTTCCCTTTTGTTGTCTAGCATGAAGAATATATTTTAATAACTGGATCCAATTTAATTCATAGCCCACTTTCTGGAGACTGGTCCCATTTCAGAGCAGCCTTTGAAGTTTAGGTTCAGACCAGACTACATCTCTCCATCAATAGCTATCTTTGTGAGTTTAGGACACTTCTGAAAAATCACACTTTCAAATATCAAACCTGGCAAAAGCCTTTCCTCAAAATAGCCCAAGTTATTGGTCAAAGCTCACTCTACCTTCTGGTGGGCTGCTTCTCTGACTTTTTGACGTTGTTCCTCAACTCTTGCTTCTCTTTTTACTTCTTCTCCAATCTTTGCCAGAAGTAACATTTCTTTCATTTTCCATTCCTAAGGAGCACAATATTATGGTAGTCAGCAGGGGTTCTCTTTCATAATCTTTGTTTTTGGTCAATAAGCAAATTAGGTCAAACCAAGGGCCTTAGAGAAATGTGGACAACCATAATGAAAATCTTTCATTGGTTTTAGAATGGGCTTATCTCACTGCTTTTTATTGGGAATATATTGGTGGATGTACTGGAATGGCAAAAGGAAGTTATTTTGTTATTGGAAACTCAATTCAAGTTGAGTTTACAATAACAATAAGCCTGGCTCCAAAGATAGCTCTAAAAAGATGCTGGCAAGAGGGTTCTCTCTTATGGAGTTGGTGGGGGGGCAGTTATTGTAATCTGATACCCTTAAGTGTATTTTGACAGAGAACCTAAACAAATAGCCTTGTCTGAATTTTGAGGAGTGGGAATACAGACACGATTCTTTCATTAGAGTTAAATTCTAAAACTTAAAGAGCAGATGAGATGTGACTGTACTGTGATAGATATATAATTTGTGGTATCAGTCTCACTATATTAAGCAAAAGCTTGTTTGTTTATTTTTCAGACCTGAAATAATGTCAGTTAATATGATGAGACTGCTAAAAATGTTTATAAGTAAAACAACCATATACAATTTCCCTATCAATATTTAAAATTTAGTGTTTCTCACCTGTTCAATTTGTCTACGGAGACTAAGTTTTCTTCTAATGTTATCCTGATGTCTTTTTTCTTCTTTCTTCATCGGGTGTATGCTCTGCTTTTCAGCCGTGTGCTCAGCCTTGTTTAATTCCCTACGAATCATATCTAAATATCTATGTAAAAGCGCAAATATAAGGGAAGATAAATTGGGTGTTTCCCATATGATGGTACTACCTATTCTGATATTCCCAAACCACCTTCTGGGTTGCTTTTTATTCCCTGAACTACAGGAAAGGTTGTCAGGGACCTCTAAGCAAGCCTGGTCCACCAACTCACCATGCTATACTCATTTTATTAGATTCTCTGTTATTGTGGCTGGGACAACAGCAAAATGTAGAGCAGAGTGATTAAAAGCATTTTACACAGGAATTATTCATAAATCAGGAGTTTTAGGAACATGAGTTTCCAAAGACAGCTGAAATCAACTTAAGGACTGACTTCAAAAAATAAGCAGATTTGAATTTCCTTTAAAAATAAGTGGGTACTGGCCTCTCTGTAATTCCCAAGTCCTTGAACAACCTCTCATGTATAGACAGGTCTGCAGACCGCTAAATCATGGCATATCATGGCATGATTCCATGGAATGTAAGACCCAGGTGACGGGGAACTGGACCTCACCCTTGATAAAGGAGGAAGAGAAGGAACTATAATTCATCTCTTTGCTTCCTGAGGTATTGGCTTGGCCTCTGAATGGTAACATTGAAATGTGTGTGGGTAAGAGCTGAATGAACACACACAGTTGCTTGGGGAATAACACCTGTTTATATTAGCGTCAGATGACATTATAGCAACTCTCTCTCTTTGACCTTGCAGTAATTTCCTTAAACTCAAGTTTGAAATGTGCTAAAGACACCTTCTTTCCCTCTAAAGACTATGGACATGGGTTTCCCAAGCTCAGGGATTTGTAACTTGGAATTCTTCTTCAGTGTGTCTTACCTCTTGGCTCCTAGTGATTCCAGTTTCTCAGGTAGAAACTCTCCTCCCTAGCCATGGTACCAAGGTTCCCAATCCCTGTTACCTCTCAGTCTACTTTCCTTTCTCTCCATATTGAAGACTACAGGGGGTTAAATAATGTCTAATACTTTTTTCTTCCTGCTTTTAATTATTTCTAGTACTTTTACAACTTTCTGGGATCCATAATATGTCTGCAAAAATATGCATTAACTTCGGTCATACCTCTGCTTTATTAACAGCTCTTGGTCTGGAGTTGATTGTGTATTTTCCTGTAACAGCCAATCTTGGAACTGTGTATTGTCATAGGCTCTCTTGGTATCACACAATTTGTTTACTTGTTTCTCAGTCATTTTCTGAGAGAAAAAAAATAAAGTTTTTATATTGGCCAGAAATAACCCTGTCCTTTGATATATCTTCTTATATTTAGGGCTTGGTAAACTTTCTGTAGTTTACAAATGGTTAATTCTATTAACCTGCATTTAAGCCTAGTGTGGCTCCACTCCAGACAAGGAAAATTTCTCTCTGTGAGTGAAAGGCAAAAGTCTCATTTTTATCTCATAGATCCCTAGAGATATTTTTCGATTTGTTACCATAATACTTCTAGGGCAGAATATTATAAGAAAATATTTGGTAGAGGACAAAATCTTTCTTCCAGACCCTACATAAAAACTTTCCTACAGGCCTCAAATAAAAGAAATTTATTTAACTTACTTGTTCTCTTATACAGTTTCTTTCAAAGTCTAATTTTAAACTGGTCAGATATTGCCTGTACTTATTCAATTCCTTTAAGGTACATATGACTGACCTATAAAAATAAAAAACCAAACCAAATACAGAAATAGAAAGTTGTAACAATCATGAAACTTTCCAGAGAAAAGAGTCATAAGAACATCCATTTTAGTAACAATTTTGGGATCGAGGGTAATGATAATACATTCTGATAATAATTTAGAAGGCAATATTGTGCTACAGTGGCTGTAACACCAGGAAATTTCTATCTAATAATATTACTTCAATAATACGGTTCACATTATAATCAGGAATTTACTATTCCCAATGAATTTGTTATTAAAATGCCAGTATAATAATGATGTTTAACTTTCAGAAGAATTTATTCTATCAAGCTGTATTCTGCTAGGTTTCCATTTTGTCTTTAGTCTTCTCAAAGGGTACAGGAAATATTCCTTGACAGGTATACAGTGCCATTATTACTTTCAGAGCCAAAGGAAAGGCACTATAATGTAGCTGGGAGAAAATACATAAATAAATGTGTATGTGTATGTCTTTACATATTCAAATCATTTAATGCTTTTATTTTGCTTTTATCAAAGAGAAAAGGTCAAGTGAGAATAAGCAATTTTGTTTAGAAACAGCTGCCTGATTTCTCTTTACCTAAATACTAAGTAATTCATTGAATTTTCTGTTGGCTATCCTTTATTGGTCAATTAAAAGCTGACACAGGCTCCCAGTGAAGTACAGAAGCAAGTGTCCAACAAGTCCACAGGTTTTTGCTGGTTAACAGGAAGCAGGCATCAACCTACCTATCTTATTATTGCTAGTGATGTGGCCACCTTTCTTTAATCTCCTCAGGATAGCTTTTCGCCTGTAGTATGCTTTTAAATGTGGATCATGCAGGCTTTTATAGCTAGGTTCCAGGAGTTGACAATAAGGATAAGTCAGGTTAAAATTTTAAGAACGTTGATAAAGCTGCAAACATACAGATTCAAAAGTATTACATATGTAAAAGGAATGCAGCCACACTTTAAACCTCAGTTTGTTGAAACGATAAGGCTGTTCATTGGAAATAAAACATGCAAGCAGAATCTGAGGTGAGGAAATAAAGACAATGGGCTGATTTGGGTAAATCTAACAGAGCTGCCTTTAGGTTGGAAGTGGCAGCCGCACCCTCAGTCCCATTCCTGGACACTGAGTGTGGCCCTAAGAGTTCTTGCAAGGATATTAAACATGAGCAAAGGGGCCTGATGTGTTCTAGCTTTGTTTTTCCATTTAAAAGTTTCTTTTGTAAGTTTCTGACTGCTTGATTGATGCCAGCCTCTTGTGTCTCTCAAGAGACCTATATCAGGAAGCTGGACTCCCTGACTACCAATGCTTCCTTAAAATGGCAAAGAAAGACATCCTTCTGGGCCATGTTTTAATTTACAGTGAAACTAGACAGAAAGCCCATATCTTTCCTAGAAGGGAAACAATTAACAATGATGGCAATTGAAACAATGCTGCAATTAGCAGGTTGATTATTGCTCTTCTTTTAGATGTTGACTTTTGTTGGTGATGGCATGTGTTAAGCAAACCTTGGATACCGACCTATCAAGAAAGAACAAATCCATTCATTAAAGCCAGGGTAAGCTTTCTATTGTCAGTCAAAATAATTGGTTTCCCTAAACTGAAGAATCTGTCTATTATATCATCACTACCTGCCAGAGGGAGATCATAGGGGAGACTTTTAAAAGTATGTAAATTGTTCTTTTCACTTCACATGGTATCTTTTCTTGAAAGCAAAATGTCTAGGTTAATTGACAAGATATTTACTATTAACTTTACAATAAAACCAATTTAAGGAGTTTGTGAAGAGGTGCTACCCAAGTATAGTATACTAATAAGGAAGTCAATTTATAGATAAATTATTTGAGAATAAGTTTATTATCAAAATGTTGAAGTACAGGATCAGTTGTCAGGTTTCGATTAATGCATAACTAGACAGATACAGTACATTGTTATATTTTAATCTCATTGAAAACAAGACTGTAGAATACTATAATTTCCCTCCCACTTGCATTCAAAACAATATGAAAGAACTTTAAATTCCCTGTTTCTGCTAAAATGGTCTGCAGTTAAGGAAGCAGCAAGGTCAGGTGAAGTAGTGTGGCCCATGAATCAGGGAACGATGGTTCTGGTCTGAATTCTGCCACTATCTACCTGTGACCTTGGAGCAATCATAGCATTACCTTACAAGGTAGTCATGAGGGTAAAGTCAGTTAAAGAAAAAAAACTAAGTGTGTAAATATAAAGTCTTACTTCCTCGAGGAGACCTTGCTAAAAGACAAAGAGGGATTCCACTAAGTTAGTCTTCAGGGGAGTTGAATGTAGTACCTGATCATGATTAAATGCATTTGGGGGGAATCAATACAATATAGAGAAAATCAGTATAATTAAGTATGAAAAAAACTGGAAATAAGAAGTCGCTAACAATGAGTGTATATGTCCATGTATGACTGAAAAATTGTGCTGAACACTGGAATTTGACACAACATTGTAAAATGATTATAAATCAATAAAAAACGTTAAAAATATTAAAAAAGAAGAAGTAGCTAACAAGTGAATAACAGAGGAACAGAATTGAAATATGGCAAACAGGAGATATCTGAGGAAGAAACCAACAGAGAGAGCTACAGTTACAAACTAAAAAGGAGTGTTATTACTAGTAGTGAAATAAGTTTTGAGTATGTTTTAGGAAAGCTAATTTGTGGAAGTGTAACTCAGTCAATTTCTGTGAGTTGGCATATATTTAGTAGAACATTGGTTTTGAAAATAGAAATCATATTGTTTTTCAGCAATAAAACTTTAAAAATCATATATATTAGACAAGTATCAAAAATACCAAGGAGCCCCTAGTCATCCCTTATGACACCAGAGAGTGGAAGGGTAAGGATGTCATAATTATTCCTGTAGAATCTTTTGCTATTGTGATCAAAGCACACACTCAACCAGAAAGTTCTGAACCTCCTTCAGGCTTGACCTAAAGCTAAGGACACGGTGGGGAGTGTTAGGCAGAGGACTTAAAATGTCTAAGAATGTGAGTGCAGCACCCTTAACCACTAACAGTACTTCCAGTGCTGAGAGAAACTGCTTATACTGCAGACCAAGGGCATTGTAAAAGGAAAGATGAGACAATTGGAAGTTGGGACACCTGGGAAAGATTTCATACAATAGCTCTTGAAAGATGGCTCAGCTTGAAGGTTGAGAAGGAGAGGAGAGTGCATGACACTTTTCAGAAGCCAGATGGACAAAGGGACAGAAGTAGGAATTAGCATGGTATGTGTGGATAGGCAGAAAAGATCCCAACCTTTAGAAGCTGAGCCTCGGCGGAAGATAAGGATGAACTGGGTGGCTGAAGCCTATCATGGGGTTTTCTATCATTAAAGTGAGGGTCAGACACTGAACACCAACTCATTTAACTTCACTTGGTGCATGAAACTGAAGTTGACTCAGAGCAAAATCATAACAGTGTTTCAAGTTTAATAGCAAGCTTAAAATGGTCAAGAAAATCACTTACGTACTATTACAACAGTTTACCTTTTCACTTAAATTTGTAGTATAAAATATATTATTACTTTCTGGGATAACAGGCACCTGGCCCCAAGAGGGAGATCCAATAGATGAGAGGCTCCGACCTCTGGAATGGATTTTTTGTTTGTTTTGCGAGCTCTATCAGATACAATTAGAAAGTCTGTCTTTTTCCCTAGAACTACTTTTAGTTTAGACCAATCAACGTAAACTTCAATGGGCTAATACCCCCCAATAAACCAAAGAATCCTACACTCAGGCTTGGAAGAACCCGCCCTGCCGACAACCCAGAAGGCCTCCCAGTTCCCCCGGGATCACCAACCCATCTCTGGGTCCTGTTCAAAGCTAGTCCCGGCCAGAGGCGGCTCTAGTTACTGCCAGGTGCGGGAGCCGGAAGCTGAGTGTCAAGGACCCGCCGGGTCCTCTGCTGAAACCTCCTCCTCTTCCGTCTGCCCGCCTTCCTTCCCCTCCGAGACGCAGCCCGGGAGCCCGGAGGGAGAGGACAGTGGGCTGGCCGCTACTCACGGAGTCGCACGGCTTCCTGTCGGCAGTTACGCTGCAGGAGGCCGCCTTAGCGGCGGAGGCTTCGGCAGTCTTGCAGAAGTTCCTGCGGTACCGACCCAAGGCCACCCGTTAGCCCCCAGGGGACCGGGGGATGGGGTCCGGCAAGCCGTCTTCGCTTCCGCTGTTCACACACGCCTTTCCGGCTCTACGCCCACATCAAGTCTGGGCCGCCCAGCTGGTGGTCGCCCGGGTAACGCGTCCCCAGGCCACGCCCCTCACAATGCTGCCTTTCTGGATGCAGCACTGACGTCCTCAAAGGGCGCCTCCCCAATGGGCGTCGCCTTCAGGGGAAGGGAGGGGGCGCTGTGACCACGTAGGCAGCCGCCTGACTTTCTGGCGCAGGCGCAGGCGCAGGACTGAAGCCTCGCAGTTTAAGCGCCTTAGACCCGGGAAAGTGATCGAAAGCCCTGGTGTAACAGGCCCATAGTTGAGATTACCAATCTCTGAATTCAGCACCGCATCATTTAAATTAAACCAGAATGGGGATGGGGAGGAATAAATTGGGAGTTCGAGATTAGCAAATACAAACTACTATATATAAAATAAACAAGGTCCTACTGTATAGCACAGGAAACTCTATTCAATACCTTATAATAGCCTATAATGGAAAAGAATATGAAAAGGAATATATACATATGTTGACTGAAATAAATATACAGCCTAAAAATTGAGTTATGTTTTATTTGGCGGACATTTCTGAGGGCTCGAGCCCCTTTGAGCCCAGGATGACAGCCTCTCTGATCGCTCTGAGGGACTGCTCTGAAGAGGTAGGGGAGAAGCTACGCTATATAGGAGTTTTACAACAAAGACTAGGTAGTTGGAACATCAAAAGATTACTCGTTAACTAAACCCCCCCCCAGATATCTCAAGTTAAAGAATTTAGCGCTTTTCTGTGAATGGGAGGAAGCAAACATTTGGACTCCTTGAATTCATTCCTTTGACAAGCACCTAGCTATGTAGGGCCAGTGTCCTGTCCTTTCTTGTTCTGAGTCCCCTCATGGCGCACCATTGTGAGTGGCTGCAGAGGCTGGGCTGCAGGCTTGTCTTCACTGGGAGGTGGCGGCAGCCATTGGTGACTTGATGGCGTCAGCATTCTTTGTTTAGTGATGTGGTTTGCAGTATTTTCGTTCACACATATGTAACCGAATCACTATGCTGTACACCAGCAATTAACATGACATTGTGAATCAACTATACCTCAAAAAAAGAGAAAAAAAAACCGTAAATTAAACCAGAATGTATCAAGCTTGGTCAGTGGGTAGCTGCCTGTAATTCTTCTAATTCTTCCTGACACCCAAGAAGTTATGATCCTGTTCAACACATGCCTACAAGTAATTGTGTAGCTTGCACTAGGGCCAGAGGCCAGGCTTTACACATCTGCCCCCTTTATAGTCACTGTGACCCCCCACCTCCAGGTCCCATTTAGGACACACTGGTTTTTCCAGGATTCAGTGCTGTTTTCCTCTGTCTTTCTTTTTCCTATTTTGTTCTCTTCATATCTCTGGCCTCCTCGTTCTCCCTTTCTCTTTCTTCTGTTTATTTATTTCTACCATCTCATTAGATTAGCCAACATGTATCTGCTCTGTGCCAGACACTGTGCTGCATGCTGAGGATATAATAGTGAATAAAACATAGTCCCTGCTGCCTGGGAGCTCACTAGATAGTAAATACATTAAGAGCTGAGACTGCACTGGAATTCTCAGGAGTTTGTACTTTGTCTCCATGTTCTTTTATGCATCTTTTTATTGTGCTAAAAATGCAGAACATAAAATTTACCATCATAACCACTTTTATGTGTACAGTAGTGTTAAGTATATTCACATTGTTATGCAACAGATCTCCAGAACTTTTCATCTTGCAAAACTGAAACTCTGTACCCATTAAACAAGTCTCCTTTCCTCCCTTCCACCCAGCCCCTGGTAACCACCATTCTGTTTTCTGTTTCTGTGAATTGTACTACTTCAGATACCTTATATAAATGATATAAGTGAAATCAAGGAGTATTTGTCTTTCTGTGATTGGCTTATTTCACTTAGTGTAATGTCTTCAAGATTCACACATATTGTAGCATGTGGTATGATGTCTTCCCTTTTTAAAGCTGAATAATATTTTATATGTATATATCACATTTTCTTTATCCATTCAACTATTAATGGACATTTAGGTTGCTTCCACCTCTTGGCTATTATGAATAGTGCTACTATGAACATGGGTGTGCAAATGACTCTTTGAGACCCTACTTCAAAAATTTTTGGATGTATACCTAGAAGTGGGATTGCTAGATAATATGGTAATTCTATTTTTAATTTTTGGAAGAATCTCTACTGTTTTCCATAGTGGCCACACCATTTTACAATCCCACCAACAGTACACAAGGTTTCAATTTCTTCACATCCTTGCCAACACTTGTTATAATCTTTCTTTCTTTTCTTTTTTTTTGGATAGGAGCTCTCCTAATTGGTATGAAGTGATATCTTGTAGTTTTGATTTGCATTTCTCTGATGGTTAGTGATGTTGAGCATCTTTTCATATGCTTATTGGCCATTTGTTGTCTCCATGTTTTGGTCTACTTCTTTGTTATCTCTTGGTCATTTAGTAACAATACCTACCACCTATTGAGAACGTAATTTCACGTGTTATGCTAAACCTTACCTCATTTAATCTTCACGACAACTCCATCTATATTTACTCCATCTCTATAGATGAAGACTTCGTTCACAATGGCAGTGGCTAATATGTGATGGAGCTGAGATTTGAATCCAAGTTAGCAGACTCCAAAAGACGTATTCTTAATCAATACACTGTACTCTTTCACGTGTTCTTGTTTTAACTCCATGTATATGATTACAACTCCTGCATTTAAAACTGTAGCCTGGTTGTAGACACTACTGCGAGCCAAACATCTCTACATGGATATCTGACAAGCATTTGAAATGGCCATACTCAAAACTCAACTCAACCTCCCCTCACTGAAACAGAGTAAAACAAAGGCCTCATTATTCTTCCTATATTTCCTCTCTCTGTGACTGGAGCCTGTTCTACCCAAGCCAGAAACCAGAGAATGCTCCTAGATGCCTCTCTTTCCCTACAACCTTGACATTCAATCCATGTCTAAGTCCTACTGTTTTTACCTCCTAAATATTTCCTGTATTTCTCCCCTCCTTGCCACTTTTCCTACCACTGCTCCATTTAAGCCACTCATCACTTCTTGTCCACACCATTATCACAGCCTCCTAATATCTCCCACCTTTCACCTCTCTAATTCATCTTTCATTCCGCCACAAAGTGATTTTTCTAAATTGCCAACTGATCATGTTTCTCCCCTGCTTAAAACCCCTAATGACCATAAGGAAGAACGAAAACAAAAGCCTTTGTGACTTGGTCCCTGTCTACATCTCCAAGACACTATTGGACTCAAGTTTAATTAGGTCCCATTTATTTTTGTTTTTGTTTCCTTTGCCTTAGGAGTCAGACCCCCCCCAATACTGCTATGATTTATGCCAAAGGGTGTTCTACCTATGTACAATGCCTATTTTCTATCCAAAAGGGTCTATTAGGCACCACTTGACATCTTTCTAGGGTCTTCGCAAATAATCTTACAGTTACACTTAATCTTTGTTGGCTTGGAAAGTTAGAAATGTGAAACAATTTTATTTTTTGACCCAGAAAATCCTGGCTCTTCTATATTTCATCTAAAATTCTGTTTGCAAATTCTGCTAAGCTTGCCCTCTCTTTCCGTACATTATGACGTGCAGCTAAATGTCAAATGACACTATCAACATTCTGCATGATTAGACATTCTCTTTAGCTAGATACACAAGTTCGTTAGGTACATTTTTTCCATCTTCCAAGTTACTGCAGGTGACACTTTTGCCAATTGTTTTGCTACTACATGACATGGGATGTTATTTTCCAACCTCCTACTGCAGTTTCCTCACCACTTTTAGAGCTTCTACTTTGTTCACCAATTTCCCAGCCTTTACTAACATTTTCCTTGCTGCTTTTCTAGTCTCCAGCCAACACTCAGTCCCAAAGTTAATGCACCCGTTTTAGTTTTTTTTTCCTTACAATAGCACGTTACTTCTGAGTACCAATTTCAGTGGTCTAATATGGCATTACTCAGGTATGTGTGGCCTTGGTTATGGAGGTTGTAATAGCTGGAATGTCTGGGCCCCTCTCTCCACATGTCCTCTTATCCTCCTTCAGGGTTCAGCCAGAGAAGCGGCAGAGCCAGTCTATGTTTTATGAAATAAAGACCTTTAAAAGTAGGCATTGGGCCTTACACAACTTTGGAAGATTTGGAGAGTCAGAAGATCTGAGAAACTGTCACTAAGCAACCATGCAGAAGTGCTGGCATGGGTAGACAAATAGGAGTTTCAGGGACATCTGAGAAGTTAAACATGTTTAGTCAGTGAATTGCAACAGTGAAGGGGCCATTGGTGAGGAGGTTGAAGGAAAGCTGGAGCTTCTGGGCCACTTTCTATGGGTGCGCAGCTAAGAATATGTTGGTGGTCCTGGTGGATCCTTTTAGCATTCCATCTTGATTTATTTATAGGCTAAAAACATATTCAAGAATTTTTCTTTAGGGTGAGGGAGAAGCCATAGCTGGGACTCCATTGAATCCCCAGGCTCTTAGACTAAAATCATGCTCAAGTTCAAGCAATGAAGAAGAAAGCTAAAAGCCAAAACAAAAAGATTATTTAAAAAAAGAGAAACCTCTCAGTCTAAGCTAATTATATCTCCCCTCTCCCCGTCACACACACACACACACACACACACACACACACACACACACACACACCCCAACTGTGTCCAAGTAACCCACAGACAGGAAAAAAAAAAAACGAGAAACAAAGTAACAAGAAACAGAAACAGAGCTTCAAAATACATGAAGCAAAACTGATAGACATGAGAAACGCAATAGATAGACCCACAATTATATGTGGGGAATTCGACACTCCTTTCTCAGTAATTGATTAAACAAGTAGAAAGAAAATCAGTAAAGGACATAGGAGACTTGAACTAAACTGTCAACTAGAATAATCCAAGTGACATTTATACACCACTTCATCCAACAGCCCCCAAACACACATTCTTTTCAAGTTCTCATGGAATATAGGTCAAGACAGACCATATTCTGGGCCATAAAACACGTCTGAAGTTCAAAAGCATTTAAATGATAAAAGTATGTTTTGGGATAACTTTATTGGTTGAGTTGTGTTCTCCCAGAATATATGATGA